GGGGGAAGGACAGGCCCGGGCCGCAGCCGGGTCACCCGGCCGCAGCGCCGCGCGAAGATGGCACCGAGCGTGAGCTAGTGGGCTCTGCTGAGAGGGAGGCTCCGCACACGGGCCCTGCACATCACACGGCTTTCGGAAGAGGAGCAGGCTTGCGCCTTGGACGGACCTTTCCGGGCGTCCAGCCGAGAATACGGGATTCACGGCGGCCTCGCCAGGGCCGTAGCGCAGGGCTGACGGTGGACCAGTACGGGATGCTCTACAAAGTGGCAGTGCCACCCGCCACCTTCTCCCCCACGGGCCTGCACCCCGTGGTGAACGTGAGCCCCCTGCCCCCTGCCTTCAATGTGACCTCGCCAATAATCCAGCACCCGGGGGTGCCCTACCCTCCCATCCACTATGCGCAGATCCCTCCGACGTCCCTACAGTTCATCGGCTCGCATTACACAGTGCCCTATGCTGTCCCTCCTGGCTTCCTGCCTAGTCCTCTCTTGTCTCCTTCCACCAACCTCACCGCCTCTCATGTCCCCCACTTTGTGCCATATGCCTCTCTCTTCACGGAAGAAGCCACTCCTTCTCCCCAGACTACCTCTCCTACCCACACCTTCAGCAAATCTGCTTCTGCAATCTCTCCTTCTGGCCAGATGCAGCACCATGCTGGGACCCAGCCGTTAGATATTGCACCAGGTAGAATTCCCGTTTATTATCAGATGTCCCGCCTCCCACCAGGGTATTCAGCGTACGAGACACCTGCAGCAGGTGGAAGCCCTGAGTCTCCTCAGCAGGACAGTCAGCTGAGTTCAGAGGTAGCTGCTGCCAATGGTGGACAGAGACATCCGGAGTCTAACGTGGTGAGGAGGACCAGCGAGGCTGCGGACTCAGTCGGCAGTAAAGGTGAAGACTGTCTGCCAGGGGCCTCAGCGGGATGTGTGGTCGATGGACAGTTCCTTTCAGGTTACCAGACGTTGGGAACAGAGGTCTCTGTGCCAGCTCACAGAAGCACCCCCGACACTGATCTGGAGGTTCAGAGGGTAGTGGGGGTGTTGGCGTCTCAGGATTATCATATTCTGGCAGCCCAGAGGAAAGATGACCCGAGCCCTTTAAACCTTTGCCATAATGTCCCTGATCAGCAGGGGGAGGCAAAGGACACGCTGAGGAACGCGGTGGAAACGGCTGCTGCTGAGAAGAGCCAGTCCAGGAGTCCGTATGTCACGTCCCCTGAAGAGCCGGTTAGACAAAGACAGTTAACCAAAGGAATGGTGATAGCCAACGGCAAGCCAGTCCTGGTGCCCGCTGGAGCGGAGCCCGCCAGGTCTTCTGCTTCAGAAACCCTGGTGAGGCGGAGCCCGGATGCACAGGCTCAAGGAAACATGCTTGAAAAGGACCTGGCCCAGCTGCAGCCACCCAGCTCCTCACATTTGCCCTCTCACTTCATGAAAGGAGCCATCATCCAGCTGGCTACAGGGGAGCTGAAGCGGGTCGAGGACCTGCAGACTCAAGACTTTGTTCGCAGTGCAGAGGTGAGCGGGGGCCTGAAGATCGACTCCAGCACCGTGGTGGATATTCAGGAAAGCCAGTGGCCTGGGCTTGTCACGCTGCATTTTGTGGTTGGGGAGCAACAAAGTAAAGTGAGCATTGATGTGCCCCCAGAGCACCCCTTCTTTGTGTATGGCCAGGGCTGGTCCTCCTGCAGCCCAGGGCGGACTGCTCAGCTCTTTGCTTTGCCCTGTCACAGGCTGCAGGTGGGCGATGTCTGCATATCAATCAGTTTACAGAGCATGAATGGCAACTCCGCTTCTCAGGCTAACTACCCTCTCGCAGATCAGTTGATATCTACTAGGGAGAGATCTGAAAGAACAGCTCAGGGGTCCAGAGAACCGTCTGACAGAGCGGCTGAAAGGAAGAGCCACGCAGATAGGGACAGCGCAGCCCAGAGCTCCCATTCGGAACCCTCTCAGCCTGAGGCTGGCAGTCAGCACAGCTGGACAGCCCCAGGCTTCCAAAGATACAGCATGCAGGTGGAGGAGCCTCGGTCCTCTCTGCTCCGTCCCTCTTTCATTCCCCAGGAGGTCAAGCTGTCTATCGAAGGGCGTTCTAATGCAGGGAAGTGATCCCTCTGAGGCTGTGAGCTAGGGCATCCCCTGTGGGTGAGCCTCACCATCAGGTGGAGAAATTGCACAGACTTTGTGGCAGGTTCACCAGCAAGGCTGCTTTCTGCCCTGAAGGACTGGGTTTATTCCAGTTCGGTGGCTGACCAGTTCCTCTTGGGGAATCGGGAGGTCTCCAGTGCCTCAGGGAGCAGCAACAGGCTAGCTGGGGTAGAGGACAGGGCTGTGCTCCTGAGCATGGTGAGAGCATTCCAGAGCTTGGTGGCTGGGGCTTTCCCACACCTCCCTGAATAACTGGTTCCCTGCAGGGCAGGGTCTAAGCTTGCAGGGTTGGTGGGGAGATGAGGAAGGCAGACACGGCTTAAGGTAGCAGATAAAATTGCTGAAGATTTTATTCCTCCTTTCTCATGATGGGGAGAGATGGGTCCCCACTGGAGTTTAGGGGGCTCTACTCCCAGTATCCCTTTTCTTCACACATGCACTTTAAAAGGACCGTTCACCAATGGAGCTCTGAGGGCAGGCTGGAGATGCTTCTCTGGTGGTTCTGTTTAATGTCTCTTCCACTGAATCCAACTGCTCTTTCTTCTTGCAAAGAATGTACAGATTTGAATGAATCGCAGAAATTGAAGAGGAAGGACCAAAAGGATGGGTTTGGGTATAGGTGAATAGGGAACTTGAGCACTTGGGATGGGACATGAGTTGGGATGGGAGATGTCAGTTTCCTGCTATAAAATACATTTAATTATTTGCCACCACATCAGATCTTTCTTCTAATATTAGTAACATTAAAAAAAAAAATCTCTTGGGCTTACAGCTTTTGCAGAGGCTTAGCCTGTGGATGAATGGGTTGGGGTTCTTTGGTTAGATTTTGTTTTTTCGTGGTTTGTTTTTTTTTTTTTAAAGCTGGAGTAAAATATATTCAACATTCTCTAGGGAAGGATGGAAACATCCTTTTTTCTGTGAGAAGACGGAGACTATCTTGTAATTAAATCAGAAGAAAACTTTCCAGATGGCTAATTCTTCCCTACAGGCAGTTTTCTGAATAAGCTCTAGACAAGAGATGGGTGTTTGTGCATGTGCAGGCAAGGTACAAAGTTTCTGCTAAGTACAGTTCTATGATTAATGTAGGGACTCTAAAAATATCACAGCATCATAGGGCATTCTGGGGTGGTTTTGTGTTAATTTTTCTGATGCTTCACTCTGGAGTTCCTCTGTAGAAAAACATGGTAAAATCAAGAGTCGTCTTTTTCATGGTGAGATTTAATACAAATGTATATTGATACCTCATTATGGTAATAACACTCCATTAAAGTGAAGGCTCCTGTAGTTACACTAATTTGCCCTCTCTGATGGTGTGTTGTGACACCAGCTCTAGTTGCTTAGCTAGAATAAACAGTCATTATTATGTTGAGGATAAGAGTCTTCACTGACTTAACTTGGGTTAAGTATTCCGTGTATTAAGGTGCCCATCTCTGTGTTAGGACCAGGCTTTTGAGAGGATTTCTTTCCAGTGTCCAGGTCCCTGCTAGAGTCCTGATGCTGCTCCTGATGTTCAGCATACTGTTTTCTGTCTCCCTTCTCCCATCTGCCTGGAGTTTTCTGTCAGGCGTGCCTGACTGCCGGGGCACTGCTGCTCCCTCCCCGGGCAGCTCGTCTGTCAGCACCTCTCCTGGTGTCGCCGTCCTGGGGGCCGCTGGCGGTGGTGGGGTCTCAGGGCTGTCCTGCATGCGCTCCAGGAGCCTGTCCTGTGATCGGTTGGCTTCAGCTGGCTGCGTGACTGAGGGGTGCTCTGCCTGGGTGTTGGGCAAATGAGAGAGTCTCCAGAATGTCCCTTCCATCCAGGCCTGCTTTCCTAGCGCACTGCCAGCCGTTTCTGTTGCCTTTGAAATGCCTGCACCAGGACAGTTTCTTTCCAGGCCTTAGGTCAGATATGCGCTACTCACACCTTCAGTGTTTGTGCCTCACGGGGGTTTCTCCAGATTGAGGATTCTGCCTGTATCATGTGTAGCTTCCCCCAAATGACACACTGCTTCCAATCTCATCAGCTGCATTTGAAATGTATGAAGTCGTGGTGATGCTGTCACGTGAAGATTCTGCCTCCCTGGATGCAGCAGCTGTGGGAGCAGATGCTGTTTTTGTGGCACTGTTTGTCAGTAAAATGTACTGTGGGGACCCGGGTGCCTGGCCTCCTCACCTTGTGTGTTCACAGTTGCTGTTTGTTGGACTCTCCTACATAAAGACCTCGATTAATGTCGGTTAGTACTTATTGCTCAGGATATCCAGGGTGTCTGTGGCCAAAGGCAGAAGGCAGAGGAGCCCAGGTTCTCCTGCCTGTTCTTTGCACGGTGCATGCAGAGGAATTCAAAGCTGTGGCAGGCAGCCGAGAAAGGGATCTTGCATATGTGTGGTGTGTGAATGTAGATGGGCTGGCTGCATGCAGGGAGGGAATGTCTGAGCAGCTGAAGGGTGCAGAGGCCCTCGCATGCATCTCTGAATGCAGGAGTCTGTCTTTTAGAAAGAGGGTCTGGAGAGCCTGCCTTATCTCACGTGTGTTACTGTAACTGCTGCTCCTGGGCCTCAGCTGCGCTGAACAGTGGTCTGAAAGGGCAAACACTGATCTACGGGGCAAGATGCCATGTGGCTGAAGTAGCTTTGTACTGTAGGCAGCTGGAGGGCTGTGAAGGTGCTCGCCCTGGTGTTCCCTGGCTGCTGGCCAGGACTTTGGCTGGCTGCGCATCTGTCGAGTGTGGCCTGAGCTCTGTGGAACAGGCCAGGGTGAATCTGACCCTGGTGCTTCTATCCAGACTCCCTGTCAGTCCCACTGTTGTGCATGGTTCAGCTGCCAGCTCTTCTGTGAAAGTGGTGGTTCGGGGCCTATCTCATGGCAGGGCACTGAGATGAAGAATCTGGGCGTCTGGCCACTCGCCCCGCAGGGGTGGGCAGGAGGGGGCCTCTGGCAGCCCTCTAGCCCAGCTTAGCAGGACTCATAATCACTGGAATCTGTCTGGACTGGGCTGGGCTGTGTTGAGTGGTGGTGGTGGTGGTGGCTGTGTTGAGCACTGAGGCTCTGGTGAGATTGGGAGTGAGACAGGCTCTGCTGCAGGCAGAATGGCTGTGAATGAGCCCATGGAGAAGGCTTTTCTTTCTTAGGTTTACAGGGAAGGGAGGAGATAAAGCCAGGAAGACATTGTGGAATGAGATGGTTATCTGGGCTTTTCTGCTGGCAGAGATGTGACAGGCTTCTGAGAGAAATACACTGTTTTCCTGCTGCTATTGTGAAGGGGAGGAGAGCTGTGGTCTGTCCTGTCTGGAGGAGGTGGCCTCTTGGCCTTGGTCTTATCCAGCTCACCCTCTGTGGCGAGAGTCCGCAGAATGCAATAACGGGTGTGCGCAGCCACCTGCCCCTCTCGTGGAACACTCCTCGGGTCGGCTGCCTGGCAGGGGCCGGGGCTGCTTCTAGGCTCTGCCTACAGTTGCTCCAGGAACACGAGACTTGCTCCAAGCGACGAGCGCTCATCACTACCAGACTATGCAGAGGAAGCTCTGTCTGGAAAGAAGGAAAGCTGCAGAGGCCCCTCTGCCTCCCCTTTCCAGCAGGTGCGCAAGTATAATGCACTTTTCACATTAAGTGTCCCTGCCCCCCGTCCCCGTCCTCACCCCACACTTGAAGTCACTTTCCCCTGTAGAGAACTAACAGTCCTTGTTACTCAGAAAACGTTGTACGAGAAACTACAGCAGCTCAAGTAGCCCAAATGCAAGTTCCTGCCTGCAGCAGTACATGTGCCTTTCCCGAGCGTCACTCACAACTGCTCTTTGTCTTTCAGGCTGTCCTAGGGCCTGACACTTTGCAGAAGCTGCTAAGATGGCTACGAATGCACGTTCTGTACAGAGTTTGGCCCAGGGTGTGTTCAGTGTATGGCTTAAAATGCTGGTGGCCAAGGCCCTTCCATGCTCTTCACATCGGGGGGG